GTACAACACCATCATTACAGTTTGTAGGTTTTCCATCAAGATCGGTGTTTAATTTTCTAAAACCCCTGCCTCATTCTCTTTGTGACCCTTTCCACTTAGCGTTTGGTTGGCACTTGTGCCTACCAATGGCACAGACGTGTTTTTTTTGTGTTTGTTTGTGTTTTTAAATAACGAAGGCAAGGATCATGAATAAATACCTCATCGATACTCACAAAATAATTAAAGGTGATAACTAAAACCAGACAAGAAAAAAACTGACTTCCAAGATAGTTTGGATGAATATTATGTGGTTAGCGCAAGAAAAATTGGGTTAAAAAAACATTTTTGTATTAGGCATCTGTTTTGAAAAATTACAGGCTCTCTGAATCTTATGACTAAAAATGTATGTAAAGTTAGAATGTGCCATATAATTCTCTATCTGTCAGTTTGGTGTCTAGACTGACTTGTACCTGCTTCTATGTGTGTTCTTAGTATTTACACACACACATGTGCAAGTACTACTGTTGTGTGTTCAGAAATGAGAAACCAAAGGAAAATATCAATGATTAAATGTCCTTGTGGCTCATTTTCCCAGCAAATATGCACACGTCCAAACACAAAAACATGCACAGACAAAGGCGAGCAGACATGAGTGCAACTAGAGCACGCTGATAGCAGTGACACTACTGACGGGAGGTCTCCGATTACCGCGCATATAGAGAATACAAATGGGAAACTACAGTAAACGCCAGCGTTTATGGGAAATATACGCTCGCTGATCTGCATATTGTGCAGCAAAACACAAATCACCTTGGAAAATTTGCATGACCACAACCACATCAGACTGTTTATGTTAATGACATCTTCTATTCCGAGGAGAGTCGGTCACTACTTTGTCATTCACAGGCCAACTTTCTGCTTGGTTACTTCTGGGCGTGTGCACGTGACCTCTGAGCGTCTTCCTCCACCCTCACCCGTGTGGGGACTTTGAAAATGTCTAATTGTATTCGTTCATTTTCTTTGCCCGGTTTTGCGAGAGATGGAGGGAGGGAAGGGAACGAGGGGAGCGAAAGAGTCAGGTAGTGGGAGAAAAAGCTCAGAGGCAACACAGGAGAATGGCCGGGGAGGAAAGGGCAGAGGAGGGGAATAGAAAGTAAGGGCCGTCTCTCCAGAACTACAGCTGAGACATCATTAGAGCCATGTCTGCTCCCTTATTAGAATAAATGCTCACAAGCAGAGATGGCTAGCCTGATAGGAGAGGGCAGCAATGTAATTTCAACCTGTGAGAAGTCTCTTGGGACGAGCCAAACCCTCACGGTTTTGTTAGTTTTTTGTTAGTGTCTCTGTCCCAACCGAAAAAAAAACTCAAAGGCTGGAAGCAAAGGAGAGACTTTACGCGTCAAAGGAAGAGAAGAGAGAGGTGCTATTCAGGATAATTAAGCAGTTAACAAGTTCCCGGTCGCATGCTGCGATTGTGAAACAACAGTGGAAAAAAGCCAGAAAAACTGCTTGAGAGCTGGAGCCGCAACCCGAATGAACGAAGTGAGAGCAAATGGTACTCTGACTTGGCCTCGGCCACTCCCAATTAATCTACACAACGATTATGATTCAGACCACTGTGGAAAAAGTCCAATCTAAGAATGAATTAACAAACAAATAAATATATACGAAAGGCTCAACACCCGAGATGCTCCTAGTAAAGATTCTTGACTCGGCTGGTATTAAGTGAAGCCTGAGCAATGGGTCTGTTTGTCCACCACACACCCAGTGGTCTTCTTCCATGCATGGTTTCTTGCGGGGACTTCTCAGTTTCCCGCTCTGACTGCCACATTGATCGGACAGCGGCAGCTGTGGCAACGTTTTTCAGCTAAACTAATTTACTTAGCGTTTCAATATACAGTTTTGCTTCATAACAATTTCTATTCTGTGCATTTAAGCAATTAAGTAAGCAAGCATAACATATTACGGGGTGAGATGAAACAACCAGTGCAGCAAATTGAAAACAAAGGAGAATTTATGACTAAACCAAACTCGAACTACAGCTCCTACTTGATGGATTATTCAGCTTGGGTAATTTTAAAATATATATTTCATACAGTGGAAGCCCATCGACAAATAGCTTTTATGTGGGAAATAGATGAATGTGGTCAAACGCCAACAACACCAAAGCTAGAGTCAGGAGAAAGGACAGGAATAATTCAAAGGAAAAAAATTCTAATCATCCTTTAAATCACCTGATATTTACATTCCTTGAAAATTACATGAAGTTGATGATTTTGATGCCACATGCACTTTGTGCCTTAGGCTCAAACGTGTGCTCGGCTGCTCTCGGTCTAAATTCTCAAAGCTGCCTCACTTTCGGTGTGACTGTCGAGCCCTCGAACAAAGACAGAGGCAAGTTTCAGTGCCACGCCAGTTTTCGACAGTAATGCAAAAGGAAAGGGACTCGATATTTATTAACTGAGTCATCAATGAGACGCGTTCGCCACCTCTCCCTCTCTGCTTTTCCTCTTAAGTTGCATTTCTAACTTTCTGCCTCAGCCCCTGCAGAAGTGAGAGTCTAACAAACGCTATTTAAAGCAAGTAGAACAGGGAGACCGGTAGCGCTACAGCCTATGCGAAAACCTGTTTCCTTTCCCCAGGCAAGTATGGGCTTCAGAAACAGCTGAGGCTCAGGAAACTATCTATTTCTCAGATTTTACCGGAGCTCAAAGAAAAGCAAAAAAGCCCAGCGATCTCAGTGATGGTATTTCCCTCACTTCTGTCAGTGAGTCAGATCTGAGATTAACAGTAAATCTCTGCAAATTGCAATTTTTTTCTAAATAAACCTTTTTTTTTTTCTTCCTTTGCTCAAAATGAGAAAACGTGTCAGCACATCTGGAAGGTATCAAGTTAACTGAGCAGCAAGTCCAGTCAAAACTTTTTCTGTAAAAAAAAAAAGCAAAGTCTACTAAAAGTATCAAGAGCAGAAGTCAAGATGCAACTTAAATTTGTGTTTGAGGACGGAGGCTTAGGAATAAACAGCCAGCATTTGGCTGGACGAGGAGCCAGGACCACAGCAGTCATGGTCCACGCTATATCAAGCCCAGGATCAACACACACCGCTACACTGCCCCTGACTTCAGCAGAGAGCTTACAGTCAGCGCTCCGTTTGTACCCCGACCACTAATTGTTCCAAGCAATAAATCATGTTTTCCCAAACTTCAAACTGAATGTAAATAGTTGTGTAACAAATTCAGCCTGTGCGATTAATGGCCTCGCGCACACTCCCGAGGATTTTATTCAACAAATACTTAAGTGCCACTGGCAGTTGAGTGAAAGATTTCAGTAAACTCCACAAGCAGGGCTCGGGCTTAATGAGCCCGGGACAAAGCTGTGCAGTGTAACTCCAAAAGGGGCTTTCAGTAGGAAACGCTGTCTCGACAAACATGTACAATTTACTCTGAAACGGACTCAGGATGGCTGAGCACAGAGGTTTGTCACTCGAGGATCGCAGCACGCGTTGGAAGAAACATTTTGTCAAACTTTGCTGAAGTTAACTTGCGCCGTGGCTCTCTTTTAACAGAGTCCTCCCGCGACTCCCATTAAGTTTGTGCTGGATTTTGTAACGATGAGCTCCCATTTGCCTGTAAATTAATACAAACGGTCTAAAGTCACCTCCTTTTTTACACATTCAATCTGCACTTTTGGACAATGAGTTTTTGAACTCATCCCTACAGTAAAAACAAAACAGAGACTTGAACTTTGAGCTGCACAGTACAAGTCTAGGTCACTTCCAAAGACTGGAACCTGTCACAGCCGCGCACATTCATGTGACTCGGGATTTCACTTGATTTGGTCTATTATTTCTGGTACAAAAAATGTAAGGATAGAATTTGTTTGCCAAAGCGTTGAAAAATGTCACCAGAAACTATTTTTTTGGTTTGTTTTTTTAACAGCACAATGGTTGGCTTCAGAGTTTGATAACAGGTATAACCACGCTGTTACAAAAGAGGGGAAAGCTTGAAATTAACTGGAGAATAACCACACCTATTCTAAATGAACTCTCTGAAACCTTTTTTTCTTTTTTCCCCCTCCTCTTCCTTGTGATAACATTTGGCATCTTAAATCCTATTCTTTTAAAGAAGAACTGAACTTTTATAAGAAAGAAACTTGAGGTTTTCAGAGTTGGAGGCAAAGAAAAATAAATAAAATATTTCACTTGGACTCCAACTTATCTAATTCAAAGGTATTTCCAGGCAATTATTCTGCTGTGTTACATTCAGGAAACACTCCCTATAGCCCTTCTCTTTTAACTTCAAGGTTATAAAGATAACTTTGCCACACTGCGTGAAAGGACAATCAATTTGATTTATACAGAAGCTGGCTCTACGTTCACTCACAAGTTTCTAAAGGATTTTTTTTTTTTTTACGGAAAAACAAACAGCAAAACTTTAAGTTTTGTAACATAAGTTTCCCCAATAACGCCTGTTTTAAAGCCTATTTTTAAATAATGGTCGTATTTTGACGGAAGGGTTTTGCGCGTATATGTGACTACTGATGGCTTTGGAGGTTTAGGCTGACTGAAAATAGTTTTAAAAAGTGCACTTCGTGGGTTCAGGGGTTTGCTTGAGTTCACCGAAAGGGCAAAAACTATTGAAAAGAAGACATTCACGTAGCTTTTTTCATATATCTTCTTCTTTGTCTCACTGAACAGCTCTAAATGTATTTATCTAGGCCGAAGTGGCAAAAGGGGAAAGCAATTTAACACCGGACCATGAATTTAATACACGGGCCTTATTAGTATTACGCACGGAGTATTCTACAGTTCCACGGAACACGTCTTGAAAATGAGACCTACTACCTTGTGTATTCCTTTTCCTATCATTCGTATCGGTCTAGGCTACCTATGGATACTGGCATTACGCCCTCACTGCGGAGATTGAACACCTACGTGGACCAGCAAAACGGAACAGCCCCGTGGATCGCGCAGGGGGTTGAAGGCAGATATTCCCCGGTAAAAAAAAAAACCTGTCACTTACTTGGTGTTCGTCCGGTTCCAGAAGACGGCGTAGCGGTCGGCCACTACTTTGGAGCCGGGGTCCTGGCTAAACACACACATCAGCAGCACCAGGCAGATGAGGAGGACCATTTCCACTTGCAACATCACTACGGGGGGAAAAACTTCAGGACACGTATATCCTCCTGCAGTGTCAAGTCGGTGGAGTCTTTACGCGGGCGCTTCTAAACCGGGACAGGTGATGAGTCTTTAGTCACATGTGGCCGAATTTGTTTTTTTCTGGCGCACTTTCAGGGGGAAACGCGAAACAAACACGAAAGGGGGGGGGGGAAGCGGGTTTGTGACCATTTACGGGAACACTTGTTTCGGGCAAATGGAAACGTGAAGTTACAAAATATATCGCGACGCGTCACTGCCTCTTCTCTTTAATGCGAAGGTCCAGATGAATCACATAAGCTTTATTTTCTCGCAGGGTGCCAGCTCTGAGAATGTTCGCGTCAGGCTGATGTATTTTTTTTCTCCCCTCTGATGCACAAACAGTGAGATCAGCACATAGTCGCACGACGCGCCCGGCGTCTCCTGCGCGGCGTTCCTCCTCTGTACCTGCGCGTTCAGAGCCAGTGACAACCGCTCAACACTTATTCCCAGTCCGAGCGGAAAAGCGCAGAGGATTAAGTCAGTCCGAGACGTGATGGAGAGAAGAGAGAGAGAGATAGAGAGAGAGAGAGGCGCTCGATGTGTCCGATGACGATTTGAGGCGCACGTCAGATGTCCATGTTTCGCAGGCAACTTTTCAAAGCCATGCAGTTGGGCAGCGATCACAGACAAGGGGAAACTCGGTCTTTCGCTTCCAGCGTCAAAAACAGTGTCATCCTCTCTCTCGTTGGAGATTAAACTGGAGGTGTCACCCGTCGAGGTTGGGGAGGAGTCCTTTCTCGAAAAGGGACAGACTGCGTTGTGTGTTTTTTCTCACGCGCTTCTGTCCGTGGAGACGCTTCTCGGGGTCCGCATCGCAAAGTGTCCTCTTCATATATGAGCCATCGCGCAGCCTGGTGGGGTGACAAAACGACGGCGCTCTCCCATGTGCGTGCGTGCGCGCGTGTTGTCCTGTCTCTCTCTCTCTCTGGTGTGTTTTTTGGGGGGGGGTTGAAAAAACGCCGGGACGCGCGGAGCTGTGGAGAGAGCGAAGCAGACAGCTCCAGACGCAGACTGAGCGAGTGGGTTTGGTTACGCCGGAGCGGGGGATAGTCCCATTGGTTTGAAATGATTTGAATGGGCGTCGCTTGAACAAAGGCAAGCCCCTCCCTCCCCCCCACCACCCACACCCCCCCAGCCAAAACTGAGTTAATTCAATTAGCAAAAGGTAGAGGTGGAAGGGGAGAGAAGTGGCCCGGACAGGGAGCGCCTTCAGTTTCTGCACTGACAGATCCGACAGATAAGGGCACTATTTCATTACAGGCAAACGGACAAAGAAGACAGTGGACTCAAGTTTCTCTCACCCAGCCTTTTTTTTATTATTATTATTGATCAAAATGCCTCCTTTTATATACTAAATAGGGGATAAACCCACAGTAATTTCGTGCAATTTTACTGGTGTAGCCTACAGGAAAAAGTCAAGTCAAGCAATATAGTGATTTTCTTTAATTAGAAAAAAAATCATCCATTTGATTTGATCATTGTAACTAAGATCTGGTTAGAACAGCTTAATCCCCAGATAGGTAACGATCTATTCCACACGTTTAGGCGGAGGGTGGCTATTTCTCACATCCGTCTGTGAGAAAATCCTCTGAGATGTGGTGCCGTGCAGACGGGAGGGCTGCAGCCTGTTGCAGGAAGCGGGCTTTCGGGGTCCCAGACGCCCCGCAGTGGCGCTCCGCAGACTCAACCCAGCACAAAGGCCAGAGGTACTATGTCTGTCGTCCATTTAATCACGCAAACGTCCTCCAGAGGGTTTTGGGGAACTTTAAAGCAGCGGGGATAAGATCTGATGGGGAATTCCCAACGAAATTAACTGTAATATGAACAGTCCATTAAATGAGGAGAGAATTTCGTGGGAGAACAGTTGGCATGGTAAGGTCTAATGTTACACATAATAATAATAATAATAATAATAATAATAATAATAATAATAATAAT